AATGAAAATTATATACTTCTCAATACGTATAGCCCTATCTCCGACATTGACCAATATAAATATTTTACCAGTCTCTGTGAATTGATGCAAAATCTTGAAGAAGAATATGATTCTATCCCATTTGTCGTGGGGGGGGGGGGGGAATTTAATAACGTAATGGATGTAAATATGGATCGTACAGGTGGTAATTATAAAGTTACGAAAAACGGCAGCCAGGCAATAAATAATATCATTCAAAAATTTAACCTTATAGATATTTTCCGAATTAAACATAATAATGTAAAGAAATATACCTGGAAGCAACTAAAACCTTGAATTCAAAGCAGGATTGACTTCTGGATTATAACAGAAACTGTACATGATTATGTTAAAGACTGTCAAATACTAGTTAATACAATAAGCGACCATTGGGCTATTTACATAGGTCTGAACTTTTTTAAAACTAAACGAGGCTCGGGCTTATGGATCTTTAATAGTAGTCTGGTTTTAGATAAGAACTTTTATAAATATATTGAACAATCTATAGAAAATTGGGCTCATGAGTTCCATTATTCATTGCAAAAGGTTTTTTTGGGGGGATTATTTAAAATTAAACATTGTACTATTAAGTATTGCAAAAAAAAGAAACACGTTAAAATTGGATTAAAAAAGTACCTATTAGATAAGTTAGAAGGGTTAAAGGATGAAAAATTAAAATTTATTGCTACCGGTAATAATGAAATAGAAACTGTTGAAAAAGAATATCAAATTTTGTTAAACAGGCTAGATCAAATTTACGAAGATGAAGCAAAGGGGGCCATATTGAGATCTAAAATTCAATGGTACGAACAGGGTGAAAAGAGCTCAAATTTTTTCTTAAATTTAGAAAAGTCCAGGAAACAAAATACAACTTTGAATAGAAGAATAACCCGGTCTAATGACGAGGACGTTAGCCAATGTAATGATATATTAAGTGAAATTCATGATTACTATAAAACGTTGTATTCTTTGTGTGACAATAGCTTTAATTTTAATCTTAATATTAAAAATGATCAATTTACAAACATTGGCCAGAACTTACCAAAACTGGACGAATATCAAAGTCAGATGTTAGAATACAAACTAGATGAAAGTGAGAGCAAGGAGGCTATAAAATCTTTCAAAAATAATAAGTCTCCTGGAAACGACGGCTTAACAGTGGAATTTTATCGAGCATATTGGGACATAATTAAAAACTACGTTTTAAACTCATATAATTATAGTTTTGAAACCGGAATCCTTTCACCGTCGCAAAGACAATCAATAATTGGACTGATACCTAAACCTGGAAAAGATAAATCTCTGCTATCTAACAGGCGACCTATAACATTGATTAATGTAGATGTTAAAATCATAAGTAAAGCTCTTTCAAATAGATTAAAACATTTTTTAAAATTATTAATACATCATAATCAAACAGCTTTTATACCAGGGCGCCATATACAGGAAAATATAAATAATAGATGATTGTTTTTATCTGGCAAAATTGAAGAAAATAAAAGGCTTTCTCTTAGCTATCGATTTTAAAAAAGCTTTTGGCAGTATTAGTCACAAGTTTTTGTTTAAAGTTCTATCCTCCTTTGGATGTAAACGTAATTTTATTAGATATATTCGTACCCTATATAATGATGTCAAATGTTGTGTGATAAATAACGGTTTTACTACGCCATATTTTCCAACAGAAAGGGGGGTTCGTCAGGGCGATCCGAGCATCACCAACTTATTCAATCTTGTAATCGAAACCCTATGTAATTTTATAAGAAATGATTTTAATATTAGAGAGATTGCTTTTCCTGATGACATGACATGTTTTTTTAAAAGATTAAAAATCAGCTAGACATTTATATGAAGTACTTAAAAAATTCAGTAAAGTGTCAGGATTAGAAATTAATGTTATAAAAACTGAAGCAATTGATCTAAATAGTGGAATACCTAATCTGTCATCTGAAATACATCAGTTTGGTTTTGTATATCAAATTCGAATATAAAAATCTTAGGTATAGTATTCTCCAGTGACACAAAAACGACTGAGAAATTAAACTATGAAAATAGATTGATTGAGATAGATAATATATTAAATATTTGGAGAAAGAGAAAACTTACATTAATCGGCAAGATTCAAATAATTAAAACTTTCTGTATATCAAAAATACTGTATCCAGCGTCAGCTTTAACAATGCCAGAGTATGTTATAAAAAGATTTAATATTAAGATAGTTGCGTTTTTATGGAATGGGCCAGATAAACTTAAACGAAAAGTAATCAGTCAAATGAAGAATATGGGAGGGGGGATTAAATATGATAAATTTGAATGAAATGATGATAGCTCGCAGCATTTTTTGGATAAAGAAAATTTATACTAATGCAACACAGACTTGGAAAACAACATATAATTTTATTCTTGACATGTATGGGGGCGATTTACTACCATGCAGCTTGCAACTATGACCCTAAACTTAAAAACCTATCTCCCTTTTATCAAGAATTATTTCAAAATTGGTACGCTATATATATACTAAACAATGTTGATATTTTGATACACCCGAAAAGTAAAATTTTCTGGAATAATAGATGTATAGGACTAGATAATAATATTTTTAGAAATAAATTTAAAAATAAAAATACATTGTATATGTATGATTTTATTGAAAATAAATGAACGGGTAACTGACGAATATTGTAGAAATTATATAAAAAGTACATCGTTAGATTTTAAAAGATTTCTGAAAACTACCCCACACAACGAAACACAGAATTGTAAAAGTATTACTTATTTAGAAGAAATAAACACTAACCTAATATCTTGGTATAAGCATGACTTAACATCGATCACTGCTAAACAAATATATTCCGCGCGGATCAGCTTACTATATGAAAAGCCGTTGGCTATAGGCAAATGGGAACAGGAATTAGAAATCAAAATAAATGAACAACTAATGAAAGCGATCTTTAATCTTTCACATAATATAAGTATAGACAGCAAACTTCAAAACTTCCAATACAAATATATTCATAAAATAATGTATACAAACTAATTACAAAGTAAATTAAAGTTAACCGAATCCACTCTCTGCACCTTCTGTCAATCCGATATTGAGACAGTAAACCACTTATTCATTTTCTGCAGTTATGCCCAACAAATCTGGAGCAAAATGCTAGAAATTACCCTTAAAAGTAACATAAATATAACATTAAAAAATAAAAATATCCATTTCGGGTATCAAGAAAAAACAATTTTCAATAATTTATGTGAATGGGACTTTACAAACCATTTAATAATCTTAACCAAATACTATATATATAGATCTAAATTAGAAAACGTTAAGCCATCACTATCCCGATATAATGCTTTTCTAATGAGTAAAATCTCATTAGAATTGGAAGTTTTTAAATCAAATATCTACACCCTAAATAAATGGAAATGTGTAGAATGCAACACATTATTGTAGAACTAGACTGGTCGCATACCCTTATCATTCAATTAGAATTATACAATTATGTGAACATATAAGAACCTTATAAGACCGTAAATGTACCATGCATTTCAATTCTTAACGAGGTAGCTATTTGTCTCCTCTCTCTTTCGACTTTTTCGTGGAAAGGAGTATAGCAACCTGGGTTTTTTTTTATTTTGATGGTAATCTCCTAAATATGTAAACTCCCTCAACCGTGGCAAGGGAGATAACATAACTAGACGGGGGTGAAAAGTTAAAGACTCAATTTATAAAAGGATTATAGTAAAGCAGGGATTTTAAAAGGTTTTAAAGGCTCAATACCACTCTTCTTGTAACTGAATAATATGTTCCAAATCTTTATTCTGGTCAACAAATTGTACTATTTTACAAAATTTCAATTAATTGATAATACAAATTTCATCTTAACACACCTTATTTAAAAATTTTGAAAAATTCAACATAATGGTTTGAAACGTCTAACGTAAACCTTTTCAAATGAAACTTCGATTTAAAAATATTTTCGAACCCTCTGGACAAGTAAAATAGGATGTAATGGATAATTTACACAACAGGTAGGACACTTAAACATCTAGTACTTAGATAGAGATATTATTTATTTTCTGGGGCTTTCAAGCCAGCAAGAGTGTTATTGTCTTATTTTACTTCTGAAGAAAAGGAATACAAGTATATTTAAATAATATCCCTGTCGTATATTGACTTACTTACTTTTTCAAATATATAATATAAACCGACATTATTGTATATAACATTAGAAATTATGAGAAATCATGCTGATGCTACAAATAATAATAATAAAAAAAATATATTTTGCTTATTTCTAATGTGTTGAAATTTATGTAAATTGTATATGACGTTATTTGAAAATAAAATTATATTTAAAAAAAAAATAAATAAATAAATCTGAATTTAAAATATTTCTAAGATATTTAACTGACACATGAGTTGCGCAGATTAAACCCGTGTATATGGCACTAATTAAAAACAAGAAAAAGAACACATCGCTATAAGAATGACATTTTACCAATATTACAGTCCAAAACATTTATTTCTATACATTTTGAAATATGTCAAAACATAGTTTGTGCAGAGTTCAAACCTAGCGAAATAAGGCTATACATTTAGAAACCTGTCCAATGACATGTTTGAGCTGGTTAACTATCAAATTAAAGAGGAGTGGCCACTCTCTCCAGAAAATCAATATTATGAAATTTGAATAATTTCATATTGTAAATAATCTTATCCTTCCCTAATTAGAGCAAATCCTACATTCATATCGAAAATTAAAAGACATCTTAAATAATCCCATTGGTCAATACCTCTATAACGCTAATGACTCTTTCAGTACCTTATACATTGGGAGACATATATAGTACAAATTTGATATTAAATATTACTGTCATTATTAATAATAATATGGTTACGCGTGGAATAAACAGCAGTGTAATTTACCTAGACATAATTGTATAAGTTTTAACATCGTCAAGAGTTAAGTACTACGTATAATTACCTTTACAACAGTAGCATAGGTCCGTTCTTTTAATCTTGTCACAACTTATACTTTCAAGGTTAAAGGGTGGTCCTCTCCTCCAATAACTTCTTTGGTGTAGGTGCCCAGTACATACGGCTACAAGAAAGGAAGCAGCAAAAACAGCAACTAACAAACCACGCATAATGATTATTTAACGCGAAGCTAAGCGCGTAAGACAGCCTGCTGGAGTTATGATGCTCGTTGTAAGTATGCTCTCTTTTAAAGGCAGTGAAATGGCAACAGCTGTTTTTCATGTATGCCAAACCATGAATAACATTCACTGGGTTTATTAACTACAACGTTTCCAGGAGGACACTCTCACAGTTATCGAGTAATGATACAAGCAAACGATGATGATGAGTTAGTTGTATTTTACGTCCGCTTCCACCGAGGTGATATCGCAGACAATATACAAGCAAACATACTACAGAAGGTTATATACAAACGGTTAATAATAAACTAATGAACTATTTACAGACAGAAGCCATTCAAAGACGTAGTGATATGGTGTTAACAATTAGTCAGATATCCTAGCTAAGATACTATTAATTAATAGGAAACCCTTAAAGAGCAGGAAATCTACAATTCGTATTTAAAACCAACCGTTACTTATAATAAACCGTTAATCTCCAACTCATGTCATTTAAGCGACGTTTCGAAGAGTATTCTCTCAACGTTATCAGTTATACAGTAATACAATATTATGAGGCTAATTTATATAGAAATTCTATAACAATTCCCGAATACTGAGAGAATACTCTTCGAAACGTCGCCCAAATAAAAAAAAGTAGCTGTTTTTCAATAAGTATGTGTTATAGCTTAGTGTAGATGTTAGGGATTTACAATTATTGAGTCTTTATCAGTTGATTCATTGTGGTTTTAATTGTGTATAAATTGTACCAGTTTTAAATTTTTATAATATGGTTCCTGATTCACTTATAGTTTTAATTTTTATATTCGTAATATGAGTGGGAGATTAGGGTTTATTAATCATTAATATGGTTTCTTATTCATTGATTGTTTCTAACAATTTTCGTTTCACACGCAACATGAGTTGGAGATTAACGGTTTATTATAAGTAATTGTTGTTTTTAAATATGAATTGTAAATTTCCAGCTCGTTAAGGGTTTCTTATTAATTAATAGTTTCTTAGCTATGAGATATGGCTAATTGTTAACACCATTCTGTCTGTAAATAGTTCATTAGTTTATTATTAACCGTTTGTATATAACCTACTGTAGCATGTTTGCTGGACTTGTCTCCAGTTTTAACTTCGACAAAGGGAGAAGATGACCAACCCTTTCTTCTCATGACAGCGATTTTACAAGTGTGTTTTATGGTGCTTTTGTTGGTTTATTCCCGCGAAGGCGCAGTTATTGACCGTAATAATGTATTGGACATTAAATCTGTAATAAACAACAACAACTTTCACTAAATGCCCTTTAAAGATACTTTCCCAAGAAAAGTATTTATCGGGTGGTTATTTCCAATAAAAGTATGTCATATTTGGTATATTTGGAAAGTATAGACACCCAATCTTACTAGAAAAATACTGGATTACCCGAAAAACGCAATGGGGCAAGCACTGGGCAAAAATGTCAGGGTATCACTAACTGGCAACCCGACTGTTATCTGCCAGCTTATTGTTTGCCAGCTTAAGTGAGGGAGCGGTTGTTATTCTTGATCAAATGGTTAGGCGGTTTTGGGAACATTGAGGGGTGTCAACGTACAAAAGAAGTTGATAGAAATAATTACGAATATACTTAGGTCTCAATATGTATGGTAAATTTACAGTAAGTAATGATAAATACATTCTGAAAAATGGACCCTCCCACAATGAAGCTAAGTTGACAGACATTGCCTCTAACAACAGCTTACTATAGCTATATAGGTATCCCCGACGAATACGAAGTTTTAAGAGGGAATTAAAGCACATTTTTGATAGATTGGTTACTTTGAATATGTTTTTAGTCCAAATATATCATCAAATGACAAAGTTTGTACGCGGGAATGTATCTTTAAAGATATTAAACGTCAACTAGAACTGCGATACAGTAATGACTGGTTTCACCGGTGCCACGTTACCCTTGAACTTATGTCACTTCCAGGGCCACGTTACCCTTGAACTTATGTCACTTCCGGTACCAATGAAACCATTAAACAGGTTTCCACATAAGCATTGCACACATCACATAAAATGGACGCAGAATCAACCAAATCCAGCCATATCAATTCCATTTAGATCTGTTACTATGTGTTACATATGTCAAAAAAGTGATCCTGACAAAATTTGTTACTGACCTACCGCTAAGTTAGCTGACTTTCTAATGGGAAATTAAAATGAGAAAAAAAATCTTAAACAGCGATCCTGACAAAACTGGTTATTTCTCGACAAGGGAAGATGCTAGAAGCATATTTTGGACATCTATATGAGCGTATTGATTCAATCTATATGTCCATTCGAGTCAAATATCACAATGTTAAACAAATAATAAATATAACTCACTTCAAAAAAATGTTTGTTTTGGAAGCTAAAAATACAGTTTTTGCCAAAATGACATTACTTCCGGGGATAATGAAGATGTTAAATTAATTCTATGAAATCATAAATGTCATATGGCATCACATGGTACAAGTTAGAAACCATTCTGTGGTCAATAGGTCAGTTTTACACCTTTTTTCACCTCTTAATCGAATTTGCTCGAAAATTAAATCGAAATTAAAAAAAACCGAGCTCACACTTTTTGCGCCTTTAAAGGGCACACTCTTTTAGTTATATCAGTTTTAAAAAAAATAATATTTGCTTTCGAAAAGTGGTACCTAATTGTCAAAATTCATAGATTTTTGGTAAAATTACGCCACTTCCGGTGCCGACAGATAACTCTATCGGTAACAAAAAAAATTACAATTGAGACATCGGAGCATATGAACTTTGTTTTATACAAATCGAACAATAAATAATTAATCTAGGACTGAAAATCTGAATTAGCCAATGGCATCCAAGTAAAATTACTGAGACAAAAAAAAATTCACATTTTTGCTCAAGTCAGATGACTCTTTAATTCTGTGTAAAACACGACTAAAAAATATTCATAAACAAAAATGTTTTTTGTAAAAATTTAAATTTTCTAAATTTGGCGCCTAATATCTGCGAAGATTTGCCTAAAATCAAAAATCAAAAGTTACGTAGCTATGTGCCCCGTCTCCGGCTATGCCAAAATGTATCGAAAGTTAAAATCCAAAGACTATTGTTAAAATCCAAAGATTATTGTTAAAATCCAAAGATTATTGTTAAAATCCAAAGATTATAGTTAAAATTACTGCAATATTTTAAAAAACGATAGATTCGATGATTTCGGGCATTTCGCATTGTCGAAGAACGTTCAAAATAGCTTTACCCTCTAAGTCACACACACTTTCCCAGCAAAACCGAAGAAATCGTAACGACGCGACAAGCAGTTGCTGAGATCTAATCAAAATGGAATTTGATTAATAATAATAATAACTAGAACTGCGAAGCAATAATTACGGGTTTCACAGGTGCCACGTTACCCTTGAACTTATGTCACTTTCGGTGCCACGTTACCCTTGAACTTATATCACTTCCAGTACCAATGGAACCGATAACCAGTTTTCCACATAAACATTGCAGACGTGTTATAAAATGGACGCAGAATCAATCAAACCCGGCAATATCAATTCCATGCATACATGTGTTCCATATGTCAAAAACGTGATCCTGACAAAATTCGTTACTAACTTACCGCTAAGTTAGCTGACTTTCTAATGGAAAATTAAAATGCGAAAAAATCTTAAAAAGTGATCCTGACAAAATTGGTTATTTCTCGACAAGCTAATTTTGGACATCTATATGATCATATTGATTCAATCAATATGTCCATTGGAGTCAAATATCATAATCTTAAACGAATAATAAATATAACTCACTTCAAACAAATGTTTGTTTTGGAGGCTAACAATACAGTTTTTGCCAAAATGACATTACTTCCGGGGATAATGAAAATGTTAACTTAATTCTATGAAATCATAAATGGCGCCAATTTCTGCAACCGTACAAAGTAGAAACCCTTTTGTGGTATCTGTATGATCGTATGGGTTCATTCTGTTTGTTGATTGTAATTAAATATCATAATTTAAAAAAACATTACAAATCAGACTCATTTCAATGAAACATCTGTTTCGAATGCTAAAAATACAGTTTGTGCCCAAATGAGGTCATTTCCGGTGACAGTGGAAATGTTAAAACGGTTTGACCTAGTCCAAAGTTGCATTAGGCATCAAATCGTAAAACAAAATATTGAAATCAAATGATAATTGACTCTTTTACAGGCTAAATAACGTGAAAAGTGACGCATGCAAAATTGCTTATTTCTCGGCAACTGCGCATATTACAAATTAATTTTCACATATATTCTCTCCGTATAGATTATTGCTACGAGTTTATGAAAGTTACGAAGAAATATTTTAAAATATGAAAACGCTGGATGGGTTGTAAATAGCTTAATTTTACACATTTTTTCACCTTTTAATCGAAATAGCCCGAAAATAAAATTGAAATTAAAAAAACTGAGCCCGACATTTTGTGCGCATTTAAAGGGCGCACCCTTTCAGTTATACCAGATTTGAAAAAAAGAATATTTGCTTTCAAAAAGTGGTACCGAACTGTCAAAATTGTAGTTTTTGGTAAAAATATGTCACTTTCGGTGCCGACAGGAAACTTTAACGGTAACAAGAAAAATGACATTTCGGAAAACGGAGCATATGAACTTTGTTTTATACAAATCGAACAATAAATAATTAATCTAGGACCGAAAAACTGAATTAGCCAATGGCGGACAAGGATAATTACTGAGACAAAAAATAATCACATTTTTGCTCAAATCAGATGACTAAAAAATATTCAAAAATAAAAAAGTTTTTGTAAAAATTTAATTTTTCAAATTTCGCGCCTAATGTAAGCGAGGATTCGACGAAAATCAAAAATCAAAAGTAGCGTAGCTATGTGCCCTGTCTCCGGCTATGCCAAAATGTATCGAAAATTAAAATCCAACGATTATTGTTAAAATTACTGCAATATTTTCAAAAACGATAGCTTCGATGATTTCGGACATTTCGCATTGTCGCAGAAGGTTCAAAATAGCTTTATCCTCTAAG